ACCGCCCAACCCGAACCGCGCAGGCGCAGTCGGGAACCGCCCGCGCCTCCTTTCACCGCCGTGTTGAGCCGGCATCGCTCGCTGCGGCCCCCGCGCGCTTCCGTCCCGGGACCCTGAGCGGAGGTGGCTCTTCCCTGTGCCAGTCCAGCCAGGCTGCAGCTCTGTGCCCGCTGTGGGTGCACAAATCGTGGGGGGGGCATATGTCCCCCGCCCCACATACTGGGGGGCTAGGGTCAGGGGGGGGTAGCGGGTTGGGAGTGAGTGGTACCAGCTGGGCTGCAGGGTGGGGGGCTGTGGGTTGTTAGTGAGGGGCACTGGTAGGGTCAGAAAGCTGTTTTCTACTTGCTAGGTCAACTTGCTGGTGTTTACAGATGGGTCCTGGTACAAAAAGGGTTCAGAACCTCTGTTCTAACCCTAGCAGACAGGTGGACCCCAACTTCTCCGAGTCGCTGTGACCAAACACCAAAGGAGGATCGCTTTGCTCCAGCAAAACTAATCAGACCTCAATTTCACAGATGTTAAGGTCAGAAGAGTTCTTAAGATGGTGCAGGCCGGCCGGCCGTGTGGCATAGGACTTCCACAGGTGAAACACTGTAAGACTTGCAAGGTGAAATTCTACCTAAAGACCAGTTGTTTGTAGTTGAGATACAGTAGAGGTGGACAGCTTGCTGCATGAGTGCTAAAAGTGGCATGGGCAGCCTCTGTGTGGCACATGACAGATTGGAAAGGGAACAGAAGGAAGAGCAGCAGCTCAGGCAGGGGCAGAGGAGCTCGTTTGAGTTCTGTATCACAGCTGTTGGGGAATCAGTTGCATCCCTAAGTTAAATTGTTCCAAAGATTAGTTTCCTTCCCCAGTAAAGATGTGCACTTTATTTCCACTCAGAATTTATCTAGCTTCAATTTTCAGCTATTGTGAGCACAGGCTGCTGTGCTAGGTTTGCTCTGAAAACATACAAGTTGAGCTGCGCAGTCTGTGATAGACACAGGAGTTTTTGAATCTCTGTCAGGCTTAGATGTGACCTAGGAGCTGAATTGCTCAGCCCTGTTGACAAGCCCTCTTGCATAGGTTCAGAAGCAGGATTTTAGGTACCTAACAAACTTTAATGTAAAAAATGGAGGAACCTGCAAAGTTTAGGCACCTTTAAGGTAAGAGCAGCTGAACAAGGGTTTTTAGGATTGCATTTTTGGACTTGGGTATCTAATTTCTACATTTGGTAACTCAATTTCCTTTTGATCTGATCCTTAAAATTCAGATGACACTAAATTTAATATTCCCTGTGAACATCAATATAGCATTCCTCCTCATGTAAACAAAATGCAATTACTTGATTCCATATTGTTTTTCCTTGCCTTTTCAGTGCAGCTGTTGGATGGTGAGTGAATATGGATTGTGCATTGAATGTAACCTCATATCTCATTTACCGCAGAGACTGGGAGGCGGGTCTTAGAATGAGTCAGTGGCCCACAGGACCCTTTTCTTATTCAGACCATGCAAAGAAAATGGCATGTATATGAGGCAGGTGATACCCCCAACTTAATGGTTAGAAAGGAAATATTGAACAGTTTGTATCAGTTACACAACATGGTCCATCTTGGGCACTAAAGGTTATGTGAGACTAACGACATTTAGGCCTTGTGCCAGTCCTCTATACAAGAGTGAATTGCACACTGAAGGAGACAGATTCTGCAGAAAAGACAGCACATGATCATGCAGTTAAGACTGAGTTTCACATGAGGGTAGAGTCAAGGTTGTGTTATCAGTCTAAACTCTTGCCAAATTCTTAACTTGGAATGCTTCATTGTGCCACCTTAGTCTCTCTTTACTGTAGTTTGTCTATTGATAAAGTTACAAAATTGTGTTTTGAAGGATTTTTTTTAACATACCCAGTACTTAGGAAAGCATATCTTACCATCTCACCAGATAATGAATACAAACTGACTTGAATGTTAGCCCTGTCATATAGGATGAATAGATGTCTGAATCTGAAGAAATAAATGATAGATGCCCACTATTTTAATTTCAAGGAAGCAGCAGGTCTTTTATTTAACAATTATGTAAACAACATGATTGATGAAAATGGATTCAATGTCCTCCTCAGAGACCACTTAAACAATCTGTGTCTCTGTTTCTTCTCTGTACTTTCCTTTAGAGGTCTGGAGAGATCACAGGCTGGTAAAACGCCACATTAATTATGCAGTTCTGTAGGAGAAAACAGGAATTAGATGCCTATCAAGCATATCTTTTGAAAACTCTTGTATTTTTAATGGTAGTTACTCTGGGCTGGAATTAGAATAACAACCAAGAAGAGGTACTTGCCTAAAAACCCTTCCTTATTTTATGTAGACCTATGTCTAGCTTGCTCCGGGGTTTATAGGGTATGAGTGGTTTCTTTTGTGTATTTGCTCAGAACTCATTGCTTGATACTACATTGAACGTTTGCCTCTGCTTGTCTGGCCAAAGCGGGACTTCCCAAGCTTATGTGCATTTCAGCACCCATATATAGCTATGATTATTTGTGAGTATTTCAGGGTGCATGTCTTTTGAAAGGATGATGGTACTTCCTTTATGGAAAACATCATTTTGTATTGGTAGTTTTTCTCTGTACATCCAGTAATCATGAAAGTTAAGGTCAGAAGAGTTCTCAAGATCATCCAAACTAGCCTGCATAGAATGACACTCTTTCCACCTGTGTAGTTGAGTTAGATTATAACTGTTATTAGCATCTGAAGTGCAATGTCTACGTTTATCTTGGAATCAGCAGATTGATGTGTTCAAGTTCCTAATGACATTCCTCTTTTCAGTGTATGCTGAAATATTTGGACAATGGTCTCAACTTGTTTGACCATCTTGTCCTCCTTTGTAATTGAATCAGACTGTTTTTCATTTTATGGTTGAGGTGATAGATTCTATGGTGGCTGATATGCCTGATCTCTGCCTGGAATATACAGTTATAGACCAAACAAAGAGCAAGTGTTGTGGACTGGGAGGACTGGTCCTACTGTCTAGACTTATTATAAGTGCTTGTGCTCTGCCTGCCTTAAGTGTTGGTTTGGAACAGTTTCCATGGGGACCCCTCACGGGGAGGTGGGGCTGCTTCCTCCACTCCTCTTCCCTGCCCACGCAAATGCCTGTGGCCTTGTGTGTTTGTTTAGCGCTGCATATGGCTTTGTGAAATGTTGGGATGTTTTGAAATGGGGTGTTGGTGGGGTTGGGGCTGAATAGACTTCACTCCTCCCCTACCCCCCAATCTTTCCACGTATAATGGTGCAGTAAACGGAGACCATTTCTTTACTCCAAAAACCATTCTTTGCTGTTTCCTATGGAATTTGGGAATAAAGTGGCTAGATACAGCAGAGGCCTGTAGGAGGATTTTGGTCACCATCTCCCCGGGGGTGTATATAATTAACCTTTTCTCAGGACATGATTCAGGCTGGCTAGGTGGTGTTGTGTAATGAGCTGCTGTCCACTGTTTCCACCCCCTGACCAATGCCAGCCTCCAAAGAATAACCCCCCACCCCAGTGCTCCTCCCCACATGCTCTGCTCATCCTCCAAACTGTGTCCCCCACACACACAGAGGCACAGATGTTGTAAATAGTAAAATAATTTATTTTGATCAGTGTCTATATCCATGTGTGCTGCCAGTCAATTCCGCACAAGAAGGGCCACCCAACCAGCTTTACCTTGCAGGTATGTCCTCGGTGCCTGCGTTGCTCTCTGGCTACGTCACTTTGGCCGATGCCTGTCCCGCCTTGTCAGTCCACTCATGGCTGAAAACCTCTCCGTGGGTTTCGCAGATGTTGTGCAGCACTCAGGCTGCCACTATAAAGGCCGTAATGCTTTCTGGCTCCAGTTCAAGCCTACAGTTAAGTGCCCTCCATCGTTCTTTCAGTCGGCCAAAGGTGCATTTAACAGCCATCCTGTATTTGCTGAGATGGTCATTGAAAGGCATCTTCTGTGGGTCTGTAATGTGCCCTCCATAAGGCTTCATGAGCCAGGGCTTGAGGGGGTAGGTAGTGTCCGATTTATAAGCGGGGGAACAGCAACGCCACAGATCACTGTCTCAGGGACTCCAGGTGTGCAGTGTCTTTTCTCCGTGAGGCCAGGCAGCAGAGAGTTTGAGAGCACACGTGCATCATACGTGCTGCTGACCCACGCAGTACAAATGTTCGTGAACCAGTCCCAGTGGTCCATCACAGCTTGCAGGATCATGGAGGCAAATCCTTGATAACTGATGTCCTGCAGCACTTGCTGAAGCACGTCTTTACAAAGTGAGTACCACCCCAGAAAGGGCAAAGTAGCTCTGTTCGGCTTGCCTCTGTCCAGGAGTTAGCCAGAAGCATTAAAACTGAGCCTGTTCCCCCAACCGCGGTGGACTCTGGAGGAGTGCATGAGTGCCAGCAGGGCCAGGCGGCCACCGCTGTGGTTCAGGAAGCCAGGGCCAGTTCCAGGTGATCGTGGAGTAAAGGCAAAGAAGGCCAAGTAACTGACGGCTTCAACACTGGTGTTCCTTACAAAAAAGCCTCATGTTATGCTGTCTTTCTGTGTCTGGCTCCCTGATTTTGAAGGACCAGCAAAATCCCTGCTCAGTGCTGGGGGGTGGGTAGTTGGTTGGTGAGGAATGCAGAAATCAAACACCAAGCATTGGCTCAGACCATCACCAGTGGTGGAATTGGGGGGGGTACCACAAGCATTGTGTTTCACTTCTCTTGCTTCACCA